TTTCTTTTTGCCGACGTCATCAATAAAATCTTAGCAGAATTTTCCAAGACTTGTGAGTTGATAAAAGATGCATAATGTGGTTTCAGAATAATGAGAACCCAAGTGGAACTTAGGTTCACATTGGGGGCAGAGAGAGGATACAAATGCTTAACGCTTGTTGAAATTTGTAGCAATGTACAAGTTGAAGTTAAGTCGAGATTATTGTTTATCTTCACTTGTTGAAATTTGTAGCAATTTACAAGTTGAAGTTAAGCCGAGATTATTGTTTATCTTCACTTGTTGAAATTTGTAGCAATTTACAAGTTGAGGTTAAGCCAAGATTATTGTTTATCTTCACTTGTTGAAATTGATGGACAATTTACAAGTTGAAGTTAAGCCGAAATCATTACTTAACACTTGTTAAAATTTGTGGACAATTTACACGTTAAGTTAAACCAGTATGATGTTCAACATCTGTTAAAAGTTTACAAGAAATTTGTCTATCCGAGGTGTGTCACCCCGAGAAGATTGCACAAAGAAGGAAGAGTACATAAAACATGCAAAATATTCTAAGTATATATTCATGCAAGAGCAGTTAGAAGAAGACAAAGATACAAGCATTCACTGAAGGAAAGTTGTGTTAAGCATTCAGTTGAAACAGGGGCACATTGGCCATATGAAAAAGCTTACATTGTCTAAGGAAACAAAACAGTACAAAAGACAAGACAGGAAAAACATGAAAATTAAGCTTCATCAGCATTAACAGCAACTTGGGTTTGGACCTCGGAAGGTTCTGAAAGAGCTACCTCGGCCGCCTTCTCCTCCGCGATCTCGGCATCAATCTGGGCAAGGGTTTCATCAATGCTTTTGTCGGCTACAGGAACGTTGGAGGATGCCTGCTCCGGGGTAGTTTCCTTGACAACTCCATCGCCCTCTTCATCTTGAGTCAAGTCCAGGACTTGCTCAGTTGAAGGAAGGAACTTGGACGCAGTAGCCTCCTTCGCTTTTCTCACCAAGGCATCGTCCTCTTCCTCATCACCATCTTCAGACTTAGATTCGCCGATGTCTTGACTTGGAGGTTGAGCTGGAGGGAATGGAAAAGGGATGGCATCGGCTTTCCTCAATGGTGAGTCCTCAAGAACGTTGAGTTTCTTCAGAAGGGACATCCAACCAAGGGTGAAACCCTTGTTGCATGCCTGCTTCACTTGAAGTTCATAGGCCTCAGTAACATCGGCCATACCTTGAGTGTACGCCTTTTTGTCAGCTTCTTTAATTTCGGCATCCTTGGTGGCCAGGGCCTCCTGAAGCTCCTTTTCGGCCTGGGCCATTTTTTCCTCAGCTTCTCTCTTCTGAGACTCAGCCACTTTCTTGATGGCTTCAGCAGCCTCAGCCTTCTCTTCAGCATTGGTCTGAGCTTTTGTTGCTGCCTCGGCTTGGTCCTCCAGTTTTTTCATCTTTGATTGAAGACCTTTGTTGGTCTTTTGAAGGGAAGAGAACTCCTTCTTCATCTCGACAAGCCTCTCTTGATTCTCAAAAGACTGCATTGAGAAAGAGTGAGCATGCTGGATGGCCTGAAAGAAAACAGAGGTATTAGAGAATATTCAAAGTACAAAATAAAGAGAAAGAAAGAAGAGAATTACTAAACAGAAGACATTTACCTGAACGGAGTGCTGAAGCATCAGAGCGTAGTTCTCGTACTCACTGTACTGGGCGTTTTGCTCCGGCTAGCCTGGAAGAAGCAGAGCGGTACTGAGTGCGATGCCGACGTTTATATCATCGGCACTATCACTTGCCATGACACGCTTGTCTTCCAAAGCAATTGTGGGAGCCCAGGGGGCATCAGGTTTTTTTGATCCCGAGGTTGTTGCAGAAGAAGACCTCGGCTTTTTTGGTTTTCGGGATTCTGGTGGTTGAGACTCAGAGCGGCTCTTCCTAGTGGAAGGCTGAGATTTATCACTCTCAGCCAACTTTGAAATAGGCAGAGTGTCTTCAGACTCAACCTGAGCTACCTCAGCCTTTGGTTAAGCCTTTTTTTATTCTTTTTGGCGTCGATGGAGGAAGGGTTTGTGTTGGCTGTTCATCAACAGATGATGGAATACTGGCCAGAAGATTTTTTGCAACAGGCTTAGGGCGACCCATCTCGGCAGTAAAGACAAGTCGTCGCCGATGTTTTCGTTCTGATATTGGGACCAGGTATGGAGCCGAAATTGATGGCTGATCAGCTGGATCAGATGTTGATCCTTGATCTGTTCGTGATGTGGATGCAGTCAACGGAGTTATAGCAGAGGGTGGAGAAAGGCTTTTTTTCTTCCTTTTGGGAATATCGGGCAAAGTTGACTTGTATGATGGAATAAAATTGAGAAGCACAGGCGCTTTCCTTTTATGGACTAGCAAGTCTAGAAGTTTCTTCAAATCCTTGCTGGGAACAAAGGATTGGCGAAAATTTTTCGGTAGCTGATGAACAGCTGCAAGAAGAACAGACTTTAGAAACCGATAAAGTATTTAAGACTTTGAAAGAAAACAGGCAAAGTTGAAAACTGGGCTCTTGCCCTTGCCCTCTAAAACTGATCGAGGAAGAGGGTAGAGATGGATGTCCTTGTCTGGAGCAAACTCCCAATTTCCCGAGGTAATGAGATAGTCATCTCCAACCCCCTTGTTAGAGTCTGGGAGGTCGGCTACGATTTTGAATTCTGTAGACCTCGGCTTAAGGTAATAAATGTAGCCTTTTTCTTTCAAATTAAAGGCACACATGGTATAGCAATACTGGATTTCGGCTAGGGTGATCCTAGCATTTTCCTGTTTAGCTAAGGCTATGATGCCATTGATCACTCGGTAGGAATTGATTGCCAGTTGCATGGGGTTCAACTTATAATAGTGGAGAATCTCACGAAAAAGGATGTTGAGTGGGAGCTGGAGTCCGCACTCAGTAAAAGCTACAATGGGAAAAGGCATCGAATCATCTGTGGGCATGATGGAGTCGTTATCTCCAGCCAGTTTCAGATGGACATCTGCAGGGATAGAAAATTCTTACCTAAAATACTCAAGTTTGGTCGGGGTATCTACCCTATGTCTCCACATACCCATGATATTGGCCTGAATTAGGGAGGTTGGGTTTCAGAGAAAAAATGTCTTGAAAGGGTTAATATGACCTTAGCAAAAATCTAGGCAAAGTACTAGATCTATGAAAGCAAGGGTCGAAGGCACGGATCTAGAAGACAGAAAGGCAAAGACGTGCTTTAGAATCAAGAATAGGGATCGGCTATCAAGAGCATAAAGAATACGAGAAATAAATGGTCAAGAATAGTAACAAGAATGCAAGAAAGTGGTGAACAGTATGTATTCAAGATATGGGCAAAATCAAAACCATTTGAATATATATGTTCAGATATGTGATTCACAAGATTTGAAACAATAATGGCAACAAGAAATGAAGAATAATAACAGAATTGAAAACAAAAGGAACAGTGGCTTACCAGAAAAAAGTGAAGCTGGTATGAAGATTGCCGAAGTCAGACGACAGTAACGGATGCAACGAGAACGACGAAAGCTTCACAGAAAGGGAGAACGGAAGGCAGTTGCAGAGCTTGAAGACTGGAACAATGGCGTATCCGGGAGCTAGAGAGAGAAAAAGCGAAGAGAAATTAAATGCAAAAGTGAAAAATGAAGAAAGGGGGAAAGGTTTTTGTTAAAAATTTGATACGACGGCAAAAACGTAATCAATACGCCTAAAAGAACGTATGCGTCAGATGGCGCACGTGAGAGAGAGACGGCTTGCAAGCGCGTCATGAGCACGGTCCAGTAAGGTGGAGATGCCTAAATGAAACGGTTGAGTAAATGATACGTGACAACTCACACACGTGAAAAAATTTACTGGAATTCTTGTTTGCTGAAGAAAACATGTCGGCCATAAAATGATCTCGGCTGAGGAGTTCTTGAGCTGATGTACAGGAGGAAGTACCGATATAGGTTCCATCACCTCAGCATGCCGAGGTAATAGAACCTAGGGGGCAGTTGTGGGGATATATTTCTAAGCACCAACACGTGGCAAGGCGACGCCGATGTGTCAGCCGAGGTGCCATGTGTCCTGGTCATTATGCCGAGATTATCTCGGCGTTGCTGAGGTTATCTCCGAAGATATCGAAATCCGAGATAACGGATAATAGACAAGAGTCCTAGAATGAAGATGAGACTTAGTCAAGATGAGGATAAAATTCTTAGAGAGTTTATCTTTATCTCTTGAGGAGTCCAAAGTAAGTATTGAATTGGAGTCCATAGAAGTGAGGCTTCTAGTGGGATTAGGATTAAGTAAACTATAAAAAAAAGGCACCACCGTGGGTCTAAGGTACGCAATTTAATGCTTTGAGCAGTAAGTTTAGCACTTGATTTATTTTTGAGAAATATACTGACTTGATCGTCGGAGTGCTCCGGGTGGAGGAGTCACTGCCGGAGCCTTCTCTTTCTGTTACAGGTTAACTAAAGCTATCTATTCTGCTGGTGCTCTCTAGCTGATTACTAAACGGACAGTGTGACCAGAAAATCACTCACACAATAATGAATCGCATCAGTTCATCAACACGGTCTAATCCATAAAGTGAATATGCTTCGGTGGAAAAAAAATGTTAGTAAATGTAGAATTATTCAAGTAAAATGAACGTAACTAAACAAAATCTAAAAGTACGAATCGAAGGCAAAAAAGTTCAAAGCTTAAAAACTTTGTTTGAAACACGACGAAAAAAAAAAGTGTACGAAAGATATTCAAACATAAAATCATGTGAACCACATTTAGACTAAAATAAATACGACAAACACATTTTTTAATAGTCACCTTTCGAATATTTTATCAATGTGGCAAACCCAAGGCGGAAAAATACAATAGAGGGAATAAGAAACAGAAATAATTTATATAACCGCGTCAAAATCCAAAAAAGTCACTCTCTCTCCCAATTTCTTCTCTCTTTCTTCCAAAAATGTCTAGAACATCAGCTCACCCTTTATACAAAGCTAGTCTCAAAAGAGTACCTAAGCAACTATTTAAAAACCCAATCAAACATCAAAATTCTCACAATCCACTTCGTTCTCTTTCTTCCTTCTCTGTTCTCTCTAGTCCTTGTTCGCTCTAAAGTCCTTAAACCTCTCTTAAAATTATTAAATTACATATATATGTGTTTGAACTCTTTCATGGAACTCCTTCCAGGTCTTCCCAACCACGTCACTCTCGAATGTCTTATTCGCATACCGTTCGATCAATTCCCCGTGGCTGCCTCCTTATGCAGAGGTTGGAAAGCCGAGATTGAGCTGCCGGAGTTTCGCCACCACCGGAAGACAGCTGGCTTGGCCCGATCACTCATCGTGGTGTCGCAAGCACGGGTCGACCCAACCCAAAATCTGCGTGCTGCTAAGCTTTCCGCTCCGCCCTTGTATCGCCTCGCACTTCGTGAGCTGGAAACTGGTTATTGGTCCGACCTGCCACCCGTGCCGGGGTTTTCCGATGGGTTGCCGATGTTTTGCCACCTTGTGGGAGTTGGACCGGAGCTGGTATTGATAGGCGGGTGTGACCCGGTGACTTGGCAGGTATCGGATCCAGTGTTTATTTACAACTTTGTTTCTGGCATCTGGCGGCATGGGACAGATATGCCAGGTGGCGGAAGATTATTCTTTGGATCTGCCTCGGATTTTGATCGGATGGTGTATGTTGCAGGTGGTCATGATAAAAAGAAAAATGCACTGAAATCTGCCTTGTCATATGACGTGGCTAAAGATGAGTGGATCAAGCTTCTTGACATGAAAAAAGAGCGAGACGGGTGTAGGGGAGAAATGATAGAGAGCTCTAAATATAGAGTTTTAATTTGAGCTCTAATGATGTGTCAAAGTAAAAAAAAAAGAAAAAACACAAAATAAGACATAAACATCACATTAGGATGGGACTCACCTTCCTATTAGAGCTATTAGAACTCCTATATAGAGCTCTAAAGCATTTTTGAGTGTAAGCGTGTGTTCTTCGATGGCAAGTTCCACGTCATCAGTGGATACCCTACAAGGTCATTTGGAAAGAAGAAAAGGTAGAGGTTATTAAATTTTTTTTATAAAAATGATCATAAAAAATTTATGATTTTTAGATTAATTTAATTAATGTGTGATACTTTATTTTAAGTGTAATTTAAGGATCATAAAAGTTTTATGATAATTTTTATGAAAGATTTTTCATGATACCTAATATTGTTGTTTTGAAAATGGTATTGAAGTATTTGATATTACAACTTGGCAATGGGACCGGATCGAAAATGACTTCTTAAAAGATGCCATTTGTCCACGGACATGTGTCGACGGTGGCGATTCAGGATTATACATGTGTCATGAAGGTAATGTGATGACTCGTATGGAAACTACTTGGCGAGTCTTAGCTAGACTATCAGCTGAGGTGTGCAATGTGGCTTACATGACAGTATGGCAAACCAAGTTGTTAGTGTTTTGTTCTTCTGAATTAGGTGAACCCCACAAAGTTTATGAGATGGATTTATGTTGTGTTTGGTTGGAGGATTTGAGAATGGATTTGGAAAGGGAAATAAAAAAAATAAGTGAAATGTGAATAAAACATGTCTAAATTTCACCTAATTTCACACATTTTTTTCTTTTTTCTTTCTAAATCCCTATCTAAATCCCCCAACCAAACACAGTATTAAAGAATTATACGTGGACAAAAATTAGAGCACCACATGAATACTCAATCCTTGTCCAGTTTGGTGGTTGTTTGGAGATTTAAATTAACTTCTCAAATGAAACCTCAAATCATACAATTTTTTTAATCAAGTTTTTTTAATGATATAATTGATCAATGGAAACCAAATCTAATGTAGTGAGCAACTGAGTATGCAAATGGATGTTTAGTGGGTTAAACCATTGGTCAAATGACAATTTGGACATTTTTAATTTGTGTGTTAATTGATTCATGTTATATTTATGTTGTCATATACTGTGATGATTTAATGGGTGAGATATGTATTAAAACTTCCGTTTGATTTTGGCAATTATATCTACAAAGTTGTTGCTTTATGCATTCGTTACAATTAGCACAAAGACTTTCTTTTAAGGGTTCAACTCGTCCCTTGTGTTATTTTAATTATTATATTTTTAATTAGCTTAATTTTAAATTTTAATTTTAGATTATGTATTAATCTGATTGAATTGACTACTCCGTTAGTGTTTTTGACGAAAAATGATTACTGAATTAGTTAAGGTTAACTAACTAACTTGAGTAGGTTTATAATTTTACCTTTAAAAGTATAACATTTGTCACTTATGTGTATATTTTTCATTAAAAAATGCTAATAGTTGCAATTAATTAAACTAAATTGAGATAAAATTATAAATTTAAGGTCAAAATTGAGCAAATTAAATTTACAGATACTAAAATGGCACAAGTGCTACAAGGACTGTGCGGGGGGCAAATATTCCGGCTTGCCCGTACTCCTTTCTTCCGAGCTCCGTTTAAGTCCGATCACCTGCGCGCAAACAATGGTGAGCTACCCAGCGGTGTGTGGCCGGAAAAACCCTCCGACGATCAAGTTAGCACACACCTTAGGATAGAGAGAGAGAAGAGTGTTTGAGTGTAAGAATTCCTTACAAAGTGTTCATCTGTCTCGTATGGGGGGCGCAGACATACTTATATACCCTCTGCGCCCCATATCCACTCCCAGTCATCTCTTGACACGTGGCTCCGCTATCCCATCTGTCAGCATAAACCTTGCCGATCATCACCTAATCACAACTGTCTGCCTTCCCTGCTGGAGCTCGGCAGCCGGGCTGCTCTATCCACGGCCGTGCTATGCTTCATACCCAAGCGCTTCACTGGCTAAGGTCAGGGAGGACCGGGCTAGGCGGCATCTCGGCAAAGCCAAGCTCGGGGCAACTCCTATGGTCGGCCTTCCTACAGATCAAACGGTTTCCTCGGTTGACCACGCCTTTCCGGGCGCCGGTCGCTCAGCTTGTCTGGCTTCAGCCACCCCCTGATCAAGCAGCTCGGTCCAACCGAGCACTGCCTTGCCCAGCTTCTTTACGGTCCGGGGCGGCGCACACTTGGCCCAATTCCTACCCGGGCCAAGTTCTGGCAGCCCATCTCTGGGCGGATAGTCGATCATCTCGGCCCCATGCACGGTTGGGCTCTCAACCTGCTCGGTCGTTGCCTCGGCCCAATTCCAGGTCATAAACCACCCTCTCAATTGCCCCTTAATTCTGTCCGCGAAAGCATGACTGGGATTACTCACTTCGACCGAGATAACATCTCTCCGGTCTTCAAGGTGCCAAAGCTCGACCGGGCTTGTTAACATAATTGTCTGCAAACTTGCCCAGTTATACTCCTCGGCTGACATCCTTTTCTTCGAAAGTAGCTCGGTTGGCTCTTCGTCTCTTCAACCCGTCGCTTCAGTCCTGACGTCGCCATAAATGGAGACACGTGGCGGGCTGCCATTGGTCATCGAGCAGCCAACCCGCCGTTTTTGCAAGAATTTTGAATTTGGGCGGCCTCTCTCTTGTCTATACATATAGGACCTCCCAAACTTCACCTCCTCCTATTGCCATTCTATTATACGACTTCAGAGCTCTAGCATTTTTGCCTTGGCCTCGTCTGCCATTCTTCGTGTTCGAGGGAATAGCTCCTGCCCTTCACTGGTGAGTCCTTCTACCCTTATTTTGTTGCTATTTTCTTTCATATTACACACATTAGGGCACAAAAACGTAGCTCTTAGGGCATAGGCCATAGAAACCGTCCCAAACCTCCCACTGTTCTTGGTGTTCTTCATCTTCCTGAAGAACACTGAAGAACTGGGGCGAACCGGGCTCCTGGTCTTCTTCTGATCCAAAAAACTAATCTAACAGAGCAAATAGCATGTTTGTCTCAACCCCGGCAAAAATCGAGACAACAAAAGGACTTGGTCGCACAACCGAGCTAACATCTGGTCTGCTTGGCCGACCGGGCTCCTTAGTTAGAATAGACAACCGAGGTGGTTTGGCACTCTTAATGACCGAGCTAAAGTCCAGCTCCTTTTGCGCGACCGCGCTCACACTTACACTTGCCATCCTTTTCCTGTAGAGTCCAGGGGGACCACTGTCATTCCTAGGCTTTCAGGGACCGAGCAGGCATCCAATAACCACAAGTGCCAAACCCCATCAGCCGGGATATTACTAAGCCGGCACAAATGGGGAAATTCCCGCTTTCCTAGTGGATTACTCCGGCCGCGCTAGCTGCTTTCAGAGAGGAGTCGGCATCCGCGGGCCGACGTCCATCTCGAACAGCTGAAGAGGAGACAAAACACCCTGGGGCAGACTAGACAATGCCCCTTCACCGTTGCTCTCAATTGTCGAAGGGCGGCCTCCGTTTCCCCGCTCGAACCCACTTATCACCGAGTTCCTCCGCCGCACCGGGCTGGCACCCACACAAGTGTCCACCAATACTTATAGAATAATCAACGGCGTTCACGAATTGAACAATCGGCTAGGCACCAACTTAGGTCTAGCCGAGATATTGAGGCAATACACAATGGGCCACACCGGCGACGGCCTAGCTTATTACCTGAAGATAAGACCGGGCAAGGAAAAAATTGTAATCGGCACCTCGGATAAAGATCTGCACGACGACGATTTTTTCTGGGTGTCGGGCAATTACGAAGCAGCCGAGGTGCCGGGCTGGTTTATAAACAAGGACTTCGGTTCTTCATGTAAGCCGCTCAAACTTGTTCGATTAGCCTAACTCTTTACTCTGTAACTAACCGGTTTTTCTGTTTCTTTTGCAGCAATCCAAGCCTTGCAAGCCAACTACCAATTTCCCAACGTCGACGCAATTCGGACCGTGCTTCGGTATTCCCACCGAGATTGCAACGATTTACTCGGCTACACCCCGACCTACAGGTATTCTGCTCCGCGCCGGAGTAGAGTAATTGACTTCCTCCGCGCTCCTTCGCCACCTCCAGACCCTACCCTTCCTGACGTCCCCTTAATCCGGTTAACAAACGAGGAAGAAATGGCCAAAAAAAGTCGAATCAAAAACCTTCTCACCGCAACCTCGACCGAGATACCGAGCGTTGTCACCCGCTCCTCGGCTGCCGGTCAATCAAGCGCCGCCGTGGTCGTTTTAGCCTCCCTAGCCGCCGGGCAGTCTAGCCAAGAAACGTGCCAGGCTAGCAAAAGACCACGGGCCGATCCCTCTACCGAGCTCATCACTGAACTGGCAACCGAGCAACCAGTCGAGAGGGTCAGCACCATCCCAGCATGGCGGCCGCAGCTGAAACACCGGGGAAAAGGGATCCCGGCGAATGCTTCGGTCAAAGGCGACAAGGAGCACCTGCTCGCCTTCGACCTCTCAAAGGCTTTGCTGCTTCCCAGCGACGTGGTTGGAAGCGACCACGTTCCTGACACCCGGCTGGTCAAATCCGCCGTGAAGTGCATGACCAGGGTAAGAAGTTCAATCCTTTGTTTCAATTTTCGCAAGTGTTTGCACGGTTTCTTCTCTGATCAAATTCTCATTTTGTAGGCCATCCAAAAGCAGCACTTCGTCATGGAGCGCATCCACAGGCTTCGGCAAAAGGCGAGTGATACCGCCAGCCAAGTCGAGAGCCTTCAAGCCGAGCTCGGCCGGGCTAAGTCTTCACTTGAGATGGCCAATGCCGACAACAACAGACTGCTCGGTTAGCTAGATGCGGCCGAGAAAAAACGGGATGAGCTCCAGACCGAGGTAGACGCGCTTAAGAAGTCGAAGAAGAAAGCTTGCCGGGCTGCCAACAACACCGGTTTTAACGAAGCCGAGCAGAGCTACAAGAAGCAAGTGTTTGCCATACAATACATCTACTTCAAGGCGGGCTGGAAGTCCGCTTGCGAACACCTCTGCCAGGGCTCTGACACCAACGTATTTGCCAACCCTCCTCCTGCTTCGCTACCGGTCTGCCTCGTGCCTTATGCAAACGATGTCTTCAGCGCTTTGCAGGCTGAGGCCGAGGAAGGGCTTGAAGAGGGAGACTGTGAGACAGAATCTGAGGCAGAAGAGGCCGAGGTGCATGAGCAGCCCGGCAATGACGAGCCTGGTGCCCAAGACACAAGTCCAACCATCAACCTTGATGCCGGCGAGGACGAGTTTACCAATCTCTCCCCATTAGTTTAGTTTTCTTTTCTTGTTTTGTATTTTTGCTTTCAACGCTTCTAATGTATCCGGGCTCTGTCCCCACCTTTTGTATTGATTTTCTTGTCAATGAAAAGTTCAAATTTTGCCAAGTGTTTGCACGGTTATCATCAATTCCATCTTCAGCAAAACATCTCGGTATAAATCATTGTTTGAACAAAACACCTCGGCAACTGGAATTCATAACTCGGTTGAAGTACTTAAGCAGGACAAACATCAAATTCATAAACCGAAATAACCATCTCGGTTGGTAATAACAAAGTTGAACCAATCATCAACACTTCCAACCAGATTAGATCATCTCGGTTGGGAATCCGAAGTTGGACAAAACACCAACTCTTCCAACCAGAGTAAATCATCTCGGTTAGGAATCCGAAGTTGGGCAAAACACCAACTCATCCAACCGGAGTAAATCATCCCGGTTGGGAATCCGAAGTTAGACAAAACACCAACTCTTCCAACCAGAGTAAATCATCTCGGTTGGGAATACCGAAGTTGGACAAAACACCAATTCTTCCAACCAGAATAAATCATCTCAGTTGGGAATCCGAAGTTGGACAAAACACCAACTCTTCCAACCGGAGTAAATCATCTCGGTCCTTAACATTAAAATAACAGACCAAGTGCTAAAGCAAAATTACTTCTATAAATTGACAAAAAGAATTACATGCTGCAGTGCAAGCCAAAAAGTTTTTTGCACAAGAAAAGAAAGCAAAAGCTTAAAAATAATACAGTTTCAAGTTGGCCGCATTCCATGGTCGGGGTATTGCTCTTCCCTCTAAATCCTCCAAGTGGTAAGCCCCCTTGCCCGCCAGACCGGTGATCTTGTAG